CCGCTCGCTACCCGCTGGCGGCCGCCGGCTCCCGCCCGGCTCTATTTGAGCAGCGGCGCGGCCAATGAGGCTGCGGGGGCGGGCGCGGCGCGGGGCGCTGCCGGCGATTCCGCGGGGCGGCCCCGAGGCTCCTGTCGGCACCTGAGCCGCGCTGGGGCCGGGCCCGGTCGCTCCGCCCATCGGGACGGGGCGGCCGGGCCCGGCCGTCGGCGCGGTGATAACGGGACAGTGCCGTTTATGGCCCCACAGCCACTGAAACGGCAATGATACGACATAGGTTGAAGGAACAGAGCTTTTTCAAGCGCGCTTACACAGTCCGTGGCACCACGGGACTGTGTTGTAGGCGTACTTGGAAGGTGGTTTATTAAGAATTAGCCAAACCCTTATCAGCTTTCAAGTGATGACCGAAGATTTATTTGGATAAGGGCACCTTCTTTGGTCTCATAAACCAGCACCGGACGGATTCTCACTGAAACGAAACGAAAGAAGGCAGCATTGCCTTTAATTCGTTCGAACATCGCAATTCCTCACTCAGGCAGCTTAAAACCCGGTACCCCGCACCCGCCGTCCCAGTGCGGGTTTTATAAATGACGGATACAGTGAGCAAGGCGAGATGCTTATTAGGGAGCGTCACTTCGAGGCACTTTGCGTTGACGTTCCCCTCTCCCTCGTGCTGCTCGGTTCCACAGCCGCGAACGACTCCTAGAGCTCTAACAGCCCGGGGTAGCCCCACTGCAGGGTCCGAACGGCTGTCTGAGAAAGGGCACCTGCCCATATTCAGTCGGGAGCTGGGGTTCGTTTCACCCAGTTCACGCACACGCGCCAGCCCTGCATCTCCCTTATACCAGATACAGCAGAAAGCAGCAGAGTCAACAACAGTGTTCGTCCCTGTACGCGTGTGCGCTGATCGCATTAATACATAATACCGGCATCCCTACAACGACACAATGTATTTGTAAAAGAAATTCAGCGGGCTATTCTGCCTGCAGAGCCCAGCTCTCAATTGTACATATATCATACAGACATCAATCTCCATGAGGTTGGTGATGGCACCCAGGAGCGCACTGGGGTGTTCCCCAGCTGCCCCTGCTCCCGCCGTCGGGGCTCTGTGTTGGGCATTTTCCTGAGGTTCCCTATACCAGGAACTGCTTTGCGGCTGAGATTTGTAGCACGTCCAGACCCCTCTGCTCTGGGCCGAGTGCCCGAGGAAGGCTTGCTGCCGACTGATACCCAGGGAACATTAGGAATTAAGCGGCATCCGAACCTTATCTGAAGCACAGTCGTGCTCGAGGGAAGCGTACTTCTCCCTGCACAGGACAGAACACGCAGTGGAGCGAAGAAAGCAAACCGGCTTCCGAGCAAAGCACTCGGCTAAAGGCAACGGCGCGGTGCCCTGACGGGTCGGTGCGCTCGCAGCCTCCCCCGGGCCGGCCCCAGCCCAGCCCGGAGCCGGGGCACACAGCAGCCCCGAGGAGCTCCCTGCAGCCCGGGTGCCACCTCGTTCCATCTCGTTACAGTGCCCGCCCGCCCCTTTCGTTGTGCTTTAAAGAAATGGTTTCTCGAGTGCAGGGAACAAACCCTGAACGATCTCTCATTGAATATACTTCACGGGAATTTTAGGGCTGTCGCTTTCAGCAGAAAACGTGAGGTGATAAACTGAGCTGCCTGCTTTGGGCCGGCTTTGTGCGGGGCGCTCGTCCAGCTCAGTGAGCGTGGATCAAAGAACGTCAGGTGCGCTCTGACCACAACCGAGCCCAGCTTCGTGCAACAGAGCTGCCAGCTCGGGGACCTTCCAGCGCTCCGCAGATGGTTTTTTTCTCCCGTTCTGCTTTCAGTGTCGAGGTGCTTTCGAGCCCAATTCGCAGCACCCCGAGCAGCAAAGCCCCGCATCACTTCCCCGAGCGCTCCTGAGCCCCGAGGTGAGACGTGAACTCACCCTTCTTTCCCCCCCGACTCCCGATGACCTTTTAAACCCGCCCGAACGCTGCGCGGGGATCCTCCGCAGAGAGCCGCGCTTCTATTTCGGGGCCCTCACGGAGCGCGCCGTTATCAGAGCCGACCACAAATGCCACATGAAAAGCAGCAAACATCCGGAGGGTTTCCTGCGAACCGAGCCTTTCTCAA